TTTAATACACACACTGGGCAAATACAAGGTGACCTAACTGCTGTGTTGAAATCACATTAAATGCATACCATGGAGGGCAACTAGATGGCTCGGTGGCTAAGAGCACTCGCCTCTAAGCCTGATTCCTGGGACCTATGTGGTGGAAGGAGAGCAACTGATCTCACTCTGACCTTCCTGTGCACACATGCACACAAGAGCATATGCAACACACACACACACTTCTATAAAATGTGTGATTTACAAGTTTTCGAAAGAGCACTGTCACTCTTTTATCTTGCAAATTGAGACAGAGCTTTAGAAATCACTGAGACCTGTGTTCTTTCTGCAGTAGCCTGTTCTGTCTTGTGTGTAGTGATAAGCAACAATGTTGTAGATACATAACCACAGCCAGCTGTGGTGGCTCATGCCTGTCATCACAGCACTTGACTGAAGCTGTGGGATTTCCATGAGTTCAAGGCCAGCCTGAGCTAAAGGGTAAGACTCTGTTTTGAACAAACAAAAAATCACTGCCAATGTGTTATTAATTTCTTAGGAAGTGTTGGTGAATAGTGATGAGTCAAGATTAGGTAGTGGCAAACATAAGAGGCCCCAAATCAAGCTGATCACTAATGCTATGATGCTGTCATGCTGAGAAAAAATGGCATGCCTCAGAAGGGAGATTGCTAGCCATGCCTCTCATCCCTGTGGTCTGTTCTCTTCCCACCCCATATACTATAGGCTCTCCAGAGAAGGCCGTGGCTCACTACCAGCAGGCCATCCAGCTCAGCCCAAGCCATCACGTGGCTGTGGTGAATCTGGGCCGACTCTACAGGTCCTTGGGAGAAAACAGCATGGCAGAAGAGTGGTACAAACGGTACAGTCCCTGCTCTCCGCTCTCTTAGCCTCTTGGAGCCATCAGCAGTTCCTCACAGGCTCCCTAGCTACTGGGACAGACAGCCTTTCAGAACAGAGCACATGTGGCCGGCTCAGGGCACAGCGACTTGCTTCCAGAATAGCACGACAGTGTAGTCATGTGCTCACAGAAACTTCCCCACTGGTGAGGCCACAGTGCTCAGTCGGGGTTGGGATGAGGTGGCCATTTCAATACTAGAAACAGGTGTAAGGCTGCTACTTTGTCAGAACCCGAGCAAGTCAGTCATCATGACTGGTACAGACTCTTGAGACCCAGTTGCCGGGTTGGTGGGTCACTGGAGGCATTCACCCAGGATACAGGATGACCTTGATCTATAAGCAGACTAAGTTCAAATGGGTATCTAACTGGGCAGCCCTCCCACTGCCTAAATCAGTGGAAGGACTTTGGAAATGTGCCCACCAGAGGAAGCACCTGTGTGCCTTTCTCCCTGCAGTGCCCTGCAGGTGGCCCGCACGGCCGAGGTCCTGTCACCCTTGGGAGCACTCTATTACAACACTGGCCGACACAAGGAGGCTTTGGAAGTGTACCGGGAAGCTGTCTCACTCCAGCCTTCCCAGAGGGATCTCCGCCTGGCACTGGTGAGTAGAGAGGAGATAAAGTGATGCTAGGTATAAGTGCAGCTTGCAAACAGAGAGCTGATACCACTGAGCCTCTGAGCTGAAAGGAAAACACTGTTGGAGGGCCGTTGTGTGACTTGTCAGGTGACTCCCGGGGCAACCTGTCACACAAGGCCAAGACGCAGCTGCTGCTGAAGCTCCTTGTTTCCAAATAACTTCACATTTCCCAACACAAGCTACAAGGGAGCCCTGGGAACTGGCAGAGGACTTCCCAGCATGCCCAGGGCCTGGGTTCTAACCCCAGCACCAAACCAAACAAAAACTGCCTGGAGTACTTGACCCAGATCCACTAGTTTTTGGCACATTGATGCATTTGTTTGTCACTTCTCCTGTGTGTGAGTGTGAATAGATGGGTGTGTACGAGCAAATGTTTAGGTGTGTCTGCATGCTCTAGTATGTGGCCTGTATTTGCTGGCGTGACAGTTTGTGGTAGATACCGCCTGCTTTGTCTATCACTTGCTCCTATGATTCCCATAAGTCAAGATGTTGTCTCATATACCGCAGGGTGGGGATCAAATTCAGGGCAGTTAACACCACCAACATTTTAATTTCAGTGTTTTGAATTTCATGCTTCCTTCTTAAATCAGATTTGTATTTTCTTACATCATTGTGTTCTGTGAGGGAACTACCTCCTGGCACATTTGATCGCCTTTTTAGGAGTCACAAGCTGTTTGATGGGGCACCCCATCAGTGACACCCAGTGCATGCAGGTATCTACTGCAGCCAAATGCTGGGCCCTCTGCTGCGGCGTTCAGCTCTCTCTAAAGTGCTTTGTGTTGGGTGTTGGGATGTGTTGTACATACCTCTCTGCAGATGTTGCTTTATCTGCTAAGGAGTGACCAGGTGTCTTCTAAGCTTGGTGCCCTGTGGTTTTTCAGGCACAGGTTTTAGCAGTGATGGGTCAAACCAAAGAAGCTGAAAAGATGACCAGTCACATAGTGTCCGAGGAACCCAGATGCCTGGAATGCTACCGCCTCCTATCAGCAATCTACAGCAAGCAGGAACACCATGAGAAGGTAAGGAAGCTCTCTCTTCCAAGCTCTCAGCCACCAAAGCAAGTGGGAATGCCAAGATGAGGTAGAAAAGCTCTTAGAGCCATGTGGGGTTTACATAGAAAAATAGCATATGCCAAAAGATCCTCCAGCGCCATGTTCACAATGCCATGAAGTCTTGAGAGCATTGGTCTGCACATTCCACCCACTGGGAGCTTTTCTCAGACACCCTCTTAGCTCCTGACACATCTTGAAACAGCACATCCTTGACTCCCCCTTGATTTTCAGATACTTCATCTCACCATTACAATTTATTTCTAACTAACGCCCAGCCCCTGCATGCCCAGCTCCTGCATGCCCAGCCCCTGCATGCCCAGCCCCTCCATGCCCAGCCCCTCCATGCACAGGCCCTCTATGTTCAGCACCTTTATGTCCAGCCCCTGCATGCCCTCTGGCTCTCCAAGTTCTAATGTTCGATGCAATCCTCAGGACAGCCCTGGGAGGCAGAACTGTGACTCTTTATCTGTATGTTGAAAAATCACATAACCATTAAATTCATTAACCTACTCAAGAAAATATTTATTAAATGCCTATAAAGTATCGGACACTATGGCAGACTTCAGGCATAGGGAGGATGGAAAAAAAATGCTGCTCTGGCCTAAGGAAGCTTATTTAGAGAAAGAGACAGATACTGATCAAGAAATCATAAGACAAATGTGATTGAGATCAGAAAGAGGGACACCAAGCATCCCATTGAGAATCAGCACCTGGCTAGTTGAGGTCAGGTCTCCACATGGCAAGATGTGAGGGAAGGGTCAAGAGAGGAAGAGGTCAGCAAGCAAAATGGGCCTGTGACAGCAGAAACAGGTGTGCCTAAGGCACAAGGGTGGGGGAGGGCCGAGCACACAGTTGAAGATGCAAACGTGACTAGACCCGCACATCTAGGGAAGGCCATGGTCTAGGATAAACTTTGATAAACTCCTGATCTAGGATAAACTTTGGAGTCTTCACAAAAAGGCAGAACTGTGCTTCTAAGCAATGTCTGTGTGTAAAGGTGGGGCAGGAACCAGGGGCCCCCAGTCTAGACGGACATGTTTGCATGGCCAACCCTATTGCAACTGTGTGACCTTCTTGTAAGCTGATCAAGATGTTTGATTCCTGCTCAACTACAAATAGGGAACCTGAGGCACAGGAATGATCTTTCTGGGGCCATTAATTCCCAATGAGAAAATGGGAGTGTAGAACGTATGTTTTGTTTGTCATGGGTCACACTAGCAGATGGCTATGAACAGAGGTGTAATGTCACTCTAAGTCAGGGTTCCTACATTTCCCCCTGCTACAGGCGCTCGAGGCCATAGACAGGGCTCTTCAGCTGAAGCCCAGGGACCCAAAAGTCATATCTGAACTTTTCTTCACAAAAGGAAACCAGCTGAGAGAGCAGAACCTTCTGGACAAAGCTTTTGAGGTAAGACGAGCCAAACTGCCATTAAATTTTCAGGTTTATATTTTTGGTTGTGAGCCAAGCCTTTAATGGCTGAGCTATCCCTCCAGGTTTAAATGAATACTGCAGCCATAAGGGAGTCTGGGCAGTCAACTCTCGTCACTGGCGGTTTGTGAGAGTTCTGATTAGCTAACAGAACTATGGGCTCCTTTCCTGTAAGCCTCTGGTTTTCGATGACTCACCTACACAACACCTCTTCACGTTTCATGGTTAGAAACATTCGGAGCATTTCATATTCTAGGATTCTGAAGAGCCACCTACACTGTCCGTTTTGTCCGCAAGAACCTCTATCACAGCTGGACGGGAGCCCAAGGAGCTTTGGGCATTTACGTGTCTGTGACACCTGCCATCACCTCTAGATTCCCTCTTATTCCCAGGGCTCCGTCTTTACATAGGGTCATGCAGTCTTCCCCAGGAAGCCCCTCTAGACCATCCATCTTGCAGTGACTTTTCTTCTGAAACTTAGTAAGTATCACGTCAGGGGTAGCCGGATAGCTCAGTGGGTCAAGGCACTTGCCTCCAACCCTGACCGCCTGGGACCACTTGGTGGAAGAAGAATACTGACTCCTCCCAAGTTGGCCTCTACTTCCATGTGTTTGCAGTGACATGCATGTACCTATGCGTGTGAACACACACACACACACACACACACACACACACACACGTGTGCGCATTTAAAACCATTCCTGTCTTAGCAGGATGTGGTGATATATCTGGAGGCAGAGACAATAGGATCATAAGTTCAAGGCCAGTGAGTTCCAGGGCAACAAGGCTATAATGAGAGACTTGGTCTCAAAAAAACAAATGTAAACATTCATCATTAAGGTTATCAGTCATTTGCCCTGAGCAGCTAAAATTACAGGAGTGTGCCACCACATTTCAGCTTTGAAGAGCTTCCAAAAGGTAGAAGGGAAAACAGGTGCCGTGACCCCTATACAACAATGTAAGCATGCTGCTTTAGATACTTAGCAACAAGTTGGAGGCTGAAGGGGCGGGGCCATGGTTGAGCGGCTAGAAGAGCACCTCAGGTCCTCTGATTTTTCATTAATTAATTAATTTATTTACTTATCTGTTGAGGGCTGGAGATGGAGCCCAGGGCCTCACATAGGCTGAGCTTGTGTTCTGCACTGAACTACCCTCTTTGGATTCTGTAATCCTGACAGCAGTGTTCCTTACCAACTCATTTATGGATGAGGAAGACCATCAAGCAAAGCTTTCTTGCAGAACCAGAGAAACAAGCTGTTCCAGAAATCCCTGGCTCCCCAGTGGCATGCCATATATGTGCTGTCATAGAAGCCCCGAGGCCCTTCAGAACCATCAACTCTAAAAACAGTAGCAGACTAAACTTGCCAGCTGCTAAGTGGCTGTTAACGATCAGGGTCTCCATGTGGGCTGGGGTTTGTACAGTTCTGTGGCACCTTAGATGCATCTCATGTGTTAACATGAAGCTTTCCTTCTTCACTCAGAGCTATGAGGCTGCTGTGACCCTGGATCCTGACCAGGCACAGGCGTGGATGAACATGGGTGGCATTCGGCACATCCAGGTAGGAGTGGCACTCACTGTGTTCTCATCCTGGTTTAGAAGCCACTGTTCATATTCTGTTTGAAATCACTTGACTACTTAAAACATAGGCATTCTGAAAGTAAAATTCAGAGGAGCTATGTTTTCTGAATCATGAATATTATGGACCTGTTTAAATGTTTATAAACTTAACTCCATTATACTGCTGATCATAAGGAAAATCACGTGTGGAAAGAAGGTTATCGGACAGCGGCTGAGGTCTGTGTGTACTGACCCTGTGAATCTTGGCAACTCCTCAGCATTACCAGACTGTTAATTTAAATATGCTTTACTATTTCCTATTTTTCATTATGTGTGATTGTGGGATATGAGTGCAATGCCCTCAGAGGCCAGCAGAGGGCGATGGTGCCCCCCAGCTGGAGTTATAGGCCTTTGTAAGATGCCCAGTATGGGTGCTAAGACCTGAACGTGGGTCCTCTGTAAGAGCAGTATTCTTCACTGGTGAGGCATTTCTCCTGCCCCTTTATTTTCCATGTTGAAAACATTTTTTATTCCCTAACCTCTTAGTGGAAAACATGTTTGTCTGCTTTGGTCCCTACCCCCTAAAGTTAACTTTGGGTGAGTCTTTCTGCCAAGAATGATGGAAAGTGCCCCTGGGTGGGTGGCATTGTTTGTAGCCAATAAAGTCAAAGGTGTGTTGTGATTCATTCGTGCATGTACTCATTCATCTTACTGGCATCTCTACTGAGCATCCATCCTGTATGCCAGGTGCACGTCTAGATACTGGGCATGTAACAGTGATCAGACAAGACAGAAACTCCTGCCCTGGTGGAACTGATGCTCTAGTTTGGGGTGACAGGCAATAAGTACACATGTACACACGTCAGATAGTAAGATGTGTATGAAGAAAAAAGTAAAGGAGAGGGGTGCTGACAGGGCTCTTAGAGAAGGCTCCTGTAGAATGCAGGCATCTGAAGGGGTCAAGTCATGTGCACAGATGAAGAGCACGTGCAGAGGTCTGAGGCTGAAGGTGCTGGTGTGTGTGGAAAATGGTAACCAGGCAGCACGACTGGCCAGAGGAGGTAAAAGGAGACGGTGGACGCTGAGTCCCGAGAGGGGGCCCTAACACAATTCCTGGAGCTTGGGTTTTTGTGCCAAGTAAGCTGGGTCCTTGAAGGGCTTTTCACGGAGATGCCAGGGTATGACTTGTGGGCTAACTTGCCCTCAGGCTTCTTCTGTCAGACCCTGCAGGGATGAAGGATAGTGTAGTGATGAGAATTTCCAAGAGGCCTGCCCGTGTTTTCCTCCCCCGGCACCTGAGCGCTCTTAGACGACAGCAGAGAGAAGGGGCTCCCAGCTGCCCGGGTAAGGGGACAACGTCTCCCGCGCTGTGGGGAATCTAAGCGGTTGCTGCTCAGTCACAGACCCACACTCTGGGCTGCGCAGTTCTGTGGGATGTTCAGCAACATCTGTCAAACAGAGTGGACTTTCTTAAGAATAGTGCATTATTTTAAATATTCAATAGTTGTTTTTTAGAATAATGTATAACTTTCCCAGGTGGAATATAACAAAAATTAAAGTTCAGTTGTTAATTTGAAGTAGAAAGAATATACCCAAGAGCATTCAAAAAGAAAAATGGTATAATTATTATGTATCTGAACTCAAGGCTGTATGTTCACAGGACAGAGCTCTGGAGATTGAGGAAATATCTACTGAGTATATTGTTTTCAAATGTTCTTGTATAATATTAGAGGGACCAGCCTTAATATTACATATCCCAGGGGCTCAGGAGAGAGAACTACTAACGGCGAGGACTATTTCAGGGAAACAGAATCTCAACACACCGAGCTCTATAGTCCACTTGCTTTACTCCCTCTGGCATAACATCCTTTATACACAGCTTCAGTTCTGTTCTCCTGTTTAGCTCCTTTCTTGCCTGATTTCTCTCTCTACTTATCTATTGCTCCCTCTAAGTTCTGTCTTAATTCTCTCATCTTAATTCTGCCTCATCTAGGTCCTTTTCAGCTTGTCCTTACCCAGCTAGTACTTCCCCATCTGGCTCTTCCTCATCTTCTGTCTCCTTCCTCTAGTACTCTCTTCTAGCCCTCCAATCTAGTTCTTCCCCATCTCAGTTTGTTCCTCTCAAGTTCTTACCCATCTAGTTCTTCCATTCTTTTTTCTCTTCTCCGTCCTGTTCTCTCGAAGTCCTGGTGTAAGAAGGGAGAGTCCGAGCTAAATTGTGTAAAGCTATTACCTAACGTCCACCTGACCTAGGCGGTGTCTCCTTGTGGAATTTACCTTAAGTCAGGTGACTAGCATGTGAACTGTTATCACTGTTAGTCCTTGAAAGTGGCTAAGGGAGATAATCTGATTCTAGAGAAAGCCTTTCCTGAGGCTGTTCTCCAAAGTCCTGGAATGTGTATGTCCAGAGAGTGATCAGTCCACACTGTTAGCCCTTCTTAGGGAAAAGTCAATTGGGAAAACTAGAAAGGCACACATTATTTTCATAACAGAATATAGCTGATATATAACAAGCCAAGTAACACCAAAAACTCCTTGGAATTTGGCTTCCTCTGGAGGAATTCCTTGATCCCTCCAGGTAGTGACTTTGCCATAACCAGCTGAGTTCTTATGATATATTCCTGCGGCCCATAGCAAAATGTAATTGACATTCATTAAAAAGATCAGCCTTTGTTACTGCAGACATCATGGATTAGCCTGAGCAATAGGAAACTCCCATACTCATAGTTTAACAAGTCTGTGGGTAAATTTGACTAATGTGTGTAGTGGGCACAGCTTGGCTGTGCTGGAACAATCCTGGACTTCCTGTGTCTTTTGCAAGGAGTGTTCACCACAATGTCACGCGTGCTGGCCCTGGCTCCTGCCCTGTGCCTGGGGAGTATAGGCCTCCAGGGCTTATGGAGGTGAAGAGTTGAAATAAGGCTTTGCAAGGAGGTGGCATAGGAGATGGAAAAAAACACTGAAGGTTGTGGCAGTCCTAGGAAGGAAGGACACATCACACCATGTGTCTAAGGTCAGTGCTGTGACCTGAAGTGCCTCAGATGTAGACAGTCAAGTCTAACTGCAAAATTCACTCTACCTCTCACATTTTTGCCCTTACATGCAGCCCCCACAGTAATTGTATGGGATATTTTTAGTGTGTCTGCAGTTTGACAGGTAGGCCATTCCATGAGGTCAGTTATAGAATCCTCTATTTATGGTATCTTATCTGTTCAGAAAGTGTCAGACTTTGAACATTCTGCATTTTGGGGTGAGGGATGCTCACTGTCTGTTATGCTCCCTGAACTTTTACACAAGATGAAGTAAGGAGATGAGCTGGAATTTCAATCTCTAATGAGATTCCCATTATCCAAGCCATATTTCTTTTTATTTTTTATTAAGAAATGTTTTTCTCATTTTACATACCCACCACAGATGCCCCTCTCATCCCTCCTCCTCTCATGGGGAGTCAGCAAAGCCTGGTAAATTCAGCTGAGGCAGGTCCAAGCCTCTCTCCCTACATCAAGGCTGTGCAAGGTGTCCCACCATAGGTAATTGGTTCCAAAAAGCCAGCTCATGTACCAGGAATAGATCCTGATCCCACTGCCAGGGTCCCCTTAAACAGACCAAGCTACACAACTGCCTCGATTGTACAGAGGGCCTAGTCCAGGCCCATGCAGGTTCCACAGCTGTTGGTCTAAAGTTCATGAGTTCCTGCTAGCCAAGCCATATTTCAGAGTTCTGTTTCAGCATGGCTTCATGATGGCCATCCATGCTTTGCAGAATATTGTCGTCTAGTAGAACTCTCTGGCATGAGCATGTTCTGTATTTTCACTGTCAAGGAGCAGTGACTGGCCACAGCAACTGGGCACAAGAAATGTGTCTGGTATGACTGATGGATGGATTCTAGTCTTAGTTAATGAAAATTCAGTTCTAGAAATCAGATTGTTACAGTTCCTATATACCATAGACTTAGAATTGTTGACTTACGGGATATAATTAAAAAAAATGAACAGGGTTTACAGTTTAATCAAGAATAGAGCAATTTGAAGGAAAGAGGGCACACTATATTGTGTGCAAAAAAGCAGAAATCAATTGATCTGAAACAATGCCAAGGTTAAGGATGAGGCCTAGATTCAGGGTAGCCTCCAAGGACATCTTGAGAGCCTGCGTGTGGAGTATCTTGTGATGTCTTGGAGCCATAAGCGTGCAGGCACCCAGATGTACACTGGGCTTATCGGAAACCAGAGACTTGGAGGAGGATGCTGGAGGTAACAGAAATGCAGCAGAACTGGGCTCCTTGCCCCAAGGAAGTTTGGTGTTTTTCATCGGCATTAATTGTCGGATATAACTACACAAGCCAGTGCTGGGTTCTCAGTGGACAATTCCTTCTTTTTTTTTTTTTTTTTTTTTCAGCATTTCCACACCCTCTTATACCAGCTGTACACATAAACACCATGAGAACTAGACAGTGAGTCATAGAGACTGAACAGTCTACCCAGTGATGGGGTAACTCAAGCATTCTGTTGAGGTCTCACTGTGTCAGGTAGCATCTAAGCTCTTGACACACACAAACATACGTGGGAAAATACTTACACCTTGGTAAGCATCAGCTGCTAGCTTGGAGAGGTGTTAATTTGAATTGTGATAGAAATTTAGAACACCTCTGGTGTCCACCCACATGGGAGCTGCAGCTAAGGATGATGTAAAATCAATTTGTTGTTTTAGAATAGGAAGAAATCAGGTAGCTTTCTGGGGAAGGTGTAAACATCTATGCCTCAGATAGGGCAGACCAAGGAAAGAGTCCTGCTTAAGTCCAGCTTAGTAAATCAGTGAGTTTCCATTTTACTCACAGGAGTGTGTGTGACTCACTGAAAGCCTGCCTCAGCTGTGTCTCCAGAGCTGCCTGCCCAGCTTTCATGAGTCTTAGCCACCTGAGTCTCCTTCCTCAACCTCTGTTTACTGCTTATGTAACCTCAGAGAGGGGCCCCGGGAGTCCTGCAAGTCTCATGAGCTTCCTGGGCCTTGTGAGCAGAGGAAGCAGACAACATGAGCTCTGTCTGTAGCGGTCCTGAGTCTTGGGGCTCTGCAGCGCTCAGGTCTGCAAGGCTGCACCAGAGCGGAAGATGAGGCATTAGGCCGCAGAGAAGGGAATAGGAAAAGCTACTGACCAATGGTCAGTGGTCAGCTGGGCCCAGGCACACATGTTGTTAAACAGTGTTGACAGAAGTGGGAGCTCAGCAGGTCAGAGGTCACATTCCTTCTCCCCTCCTGCAGCAAGTGTCTGGCTCTGGCTGGTGCTTTTCACCACATACCCTGGCTAGGAGATAAACCTGAGTCCATCTTTAAATTTCTTTTTTTAAGATTTGTTTGCTTTATGTGTATGAGTTTTTACATGTATGTATGTATGGGTACCATGTATGAAATGCTCACAGAGGTCAGAAGAGAGTGTTTGATCCCTTGGAGGTACAGGTGCTTGTAAGCCATCATGTGTGTGCTGTGAATGGCACCAAACCCCAGGGTCCTGTAAAAGAACAAGTGCTCTTAACCATACAGCCATATGGACTCCAGCCCCGGGTCCATCTTTTAATCAAGTCCTGCACTGTGTGAAACTTGCATTAGGCACTGGCTGCTTGTGTGTTTCAGTTGAAAATTAGAGCAAACTAAAGATAAAATGGATGTCTGTTTAATTATTGCTCTCCCTCCGTCTCTACCCCACCCCAAGCCTATTTGCTTACAAAGAACAGCAGCCCCATGCTAACCTCCTGAGAACACTACAAAATAACAGTCTCCTTCTCTGTAGTGAGAAAGCTGAAATCTGTGTTTCTGCCGCTGAACCTCATGGTGTAGCTATCAGCCTCCACGTTCTCCAGCTGGTCTGGTTCTTAAAACAAATGGATTCCCCTAAAGCACCCCAAGAGATAAGGATAACAATATGCACAGATAAGGTTTCCTTAGGGGAACTTAACTGGCAGTCAGAGGAAGGGGGTCTTCTCCCATCCTCAGAGGGTTGTGCTGAGCAGTCTTTCTCTTTTTCTGCACCCACCCCCCTCAGGGAAGCTATGTGTCGGCAAGGGCCTATTACGAGAGAGCCCTGAGGCTGGTTCCAGACAGCAAGCTGCTGAAGGAAAATCTAGCCAAGCTGGATCGCCTGGAGAGAAGGTTACAAGAAGTCCGAGAAAGGGATCAAACATAGCTCCGAGGACACAGTCACGTGGGACTCGGCAGGCTGGAAGAGGACCGAGTGGGGGCGGCCTTGCTCATACACAGCAGGCCCTGCCAGCCAGGCAGTCCCCTCCTGGTGGCACAGCTGCTGGGGGCTGTGCGAGTTGTTTCCATGAAGGGACAAACAGCCAGGGCGGGCAGGCCACCTGCAGGGGAGGGAAATAGCCTGTTACAGGTTCCTCTGGGTCGGTCCCTGGTCCCAGGATGCAGACACTGAACTCCATTCTTACTGTAGCCCAGAAACACAGAAGCTTGGAGTTCTGTAGAGGAGACAGCTGTTCATAAGGAAGGATGTGTCCTCTGAAGTCAGCTCTTGGGAAAGTCTACTTGTGGAAGTTTAATATATTCTCAAGAATCCGGAATGGATGGTGAAGAGCATTGGTAGAGTCTTGTGAAGTTATAGGAACAGGGCACTTGATCGCTGGGCTTGGTCTAATAACTCCCAAGAGTATCGCTAAGGACCTTTGGAGAAGTACATTAAATTCCACTCTGATATATGCTTTTCCAGTGCCTAAAACATGAGGGGATCTTCTAGAATTATATGTGGGCATCTTTATTTCTACAGGAAAAATCTCCCTGAGCAGTAAAAAAGAGCTGAGCATCCTTGATTCTTTATGAAAATGTTTGAATTGTATTCCAGATTGTACTAGAGTTGTGTCCCACATTGAAACTTCTCAGTGCATTAACCAGGAGACTACCACCCTAAAATATGCTGCTCAGGTGGGGAGCGGCAGCGTGCGCTCTGCATGGAAGTGTTAAGGGGTCAGTCCAGAGAAGTGCTCTCCTTTAGACGTTGTGAGATTTATTATTTTTGAAACATTGAGAATTCCTCACAGATTGAGTTGAGGGAAGAAAGCTCTATTTATTGACTTTTGAGGTTTAGTAGGAATTCTGTACTTAAAAGACAAGTGACCAAAAGCAGACCGTCTGCTTAGTAAGTTTGCAGACTACATGGAGAATGCTCTAAAACTCTCGGGTAAAGTCTAAATTCATAATTTTTTAAAAATATATTTATATTTAAAAATGAGGAAGGCAAAGTTGAAATCATAATTTGACATTATTTTTAGTGTTATTTATTGTATAACTTATAAAATATTTAATATATATCCACATGTCTTGTTTTTTTTCTCTGTACATAGTCATTTTGATAGCAGCTCTCAAAACCAATCATATGAAAACTGCAAAATAAGAAAGCTTTAACAGTCTCCCCAAATAATACTGGTTATTTGCCACTTAAAGCTAATGGAATTAGGGGTCAGCTCAGTGTCTGGGTAGTCGGTGAAGGAGCTGGGTACCTTCTTCTAACTGGTACTTATCAATGGAAACAGAGACACACAGAAGATGCAGGTCCTGATGCTGAGCCAGTTGTCAAACACACGTGACAGCCGGGAAGCAGCATCTCACCTGCACAGCGAGAGGGAAACCCTGCTTCTTCCAACTCAGCATCAGGGTGCAGTGCCTCTGTAGGCTATTTTTCTGGCAGGTAAGTTGAAATAAATGGCTGAAAACTTATTTGAAAAGACATGATGAAGCCAGGCGGTGGTGGTGCACGCCTTTAATCCCACCACTTTGGAGGTAGAGGCAGGCTGATCTCAATGAGTTCAAGGCCAGCCTGGTCTACAGAGTGAGTTCCAGGACAGCCAGGGCTACACAGAGACCCTCCCACACACACCCAAAAAAGGGCATTTGACCCAGTGCACACCTGCTTCTGGGAGCCAGTATTTGTCACTGTCACCTCATGTATGTAATTGTCAGTCAGTGTTACATATCATAAATTGATCCAGAATCTTATTTTCTTCTTCCATCTAAGACATCTTTAGTACCAAGGTAAAAACTATGCACTATAGTGTTTATTATAAAGTAATTCCAAGCCCCTAATTTGGAAAGCAGGGGTCCTTGGTCACATCTTAGTACCACTTTGTAGAATAGTATTTACCAAAATGGGTACATTAAAAACTAATGGGACAGATTGAACTTCAAAGTTTGACATAATTCTGCCTTATGTAAAGTGCTACAGAAGGTCTCAGTGTAAACTTGTTGGAATAATTAAAAGGGTAATTACAACATAAGCGTTTCTAAGGAGGGAAGGCCACAGTGGCGTCCAGAGACCGCTGCATGGGGCCTCTCCTTTCTCATTTGTCTGCCCACTCTGACATCTCCCTGAGCAGTAAAAATAAGCACTGTTTAAAAAGAGAAACAAGCCAGGCGGTGGTGGCGCACGCCTTTGATCCCAGCACTCGGGAGGCAGAGCCAGGCGGATCTCTGTGAGTTCGAGGCCAGCCTGGGCTACCACGTGAGTTCCAGGAAAGGCGCAAAGCTACACAGAGAAACCCTGTCTCGAAAAACCAAAAAACAAAACAAAACAAAACAAACAAACAAACAAAAAGAGAAACAAAGTCAGCTTGCTTTTTGGCTCGGATATTGAATGAGCCAATGAGAGAGTTTCCATGGTAGATATGTTGCCTGGGAGAAAATCAGTTACAAAGTGTGTTTTAAAGCTGTTGAGTGTATCTTGTAACACCCTGTTTGGTTCTTGTGACGTGGACTAATCCGTGGGAGTCATCCTTATTACAGTAGAAACAGAGATCCTGGCTTGTGAAAAGGCATCTGATTTGTCACTAGCAGGCTTGTGTGTCATGAGTGACTGGAGAGCTGTTTCTGAAATCCAGGAGTAGAGTTGGCTTTGTGCACGAAAATACTCTGCTGGCAATTCTAACATTGTCATTGCCCTCATCATTGGTACTGAGAAATGGACCCAAGACCTTGTACATACCAGAAGCACTCTCTCGCACTGGCTCTATTCTCAGCTAACATTATCTTAGGGTTTTGTTTTATTTTATTTTTTACAAGAGTCTAGCGTGTGTCTCAGAATTCTGTAACATGCCCTGGGTAGGAAGGAGGAGACAAAGAATGAATCAGGAGTTGCTTTGCCTGGGCTGAGCCCCCAGCATGGAGTTTCTGGGTTCTTTCCTCCGTTACACATAGAGCCCTTCACATCCCTGGAGCCCCTCCCCCACCATTCACTGTCAGGCCTGCCCATCATCGTCCCTAGACCAGTGCTTGTCATGAAATCCACCTATGACATAGAAGCTGCAGGAATGGCTTTGGTGGCTTACTTCAAATTTGGGGATTATTTAGTAAGGATTTTCCAAAAGTGATTCAGATGTTTCAGGTTATTAATGTCCTTTATAAAACCTGATTTGGTGGTGGAACTCAGGGGGGGGAGTGCTCTTTGAGGGGCTGGGGGCCTTGTTTGCTTTTGTGGTTCTGGCCTAGAACTCCATGTGCCAGGCAAGCCCTCCCTCTGTCACTTGCTACCAGAGACATCTCAGCCCCAGACCAGTTTATTTTTGAAGGTTATCACAAAGCAAAGAGGTTTCTGGTCTTCATCAGTATGCAGGTTCTCTTCTGAAGTCTGCAGCAGAATTTCAGAGGCCCTTTTCAGCTTTCAGCCAAGACTAAATAAAAAATTCCAAACCACACTGTAGAATCCAACCTGAGGTGACTGAACCGAGGGAGAAAAGAAAGCAAATGTCCCATATCTTGTGATTGTTAGCAGAGAGTCTACATCCTTCCGATCCCAGAGAGCAGGGGCTGGAGGGCGGCCTTCCCTCCTGCACAGGGGCTCTCAGCACTGGCTGCCCTTAGAGAACAGCTAGGACTCCTACAAACTCCCTGAGATGAGCTTTCTGGTGCCAGCAAAGTCCTGCAGGGATGACTGCTTTGAACAAGGCTTTCTACCAAGGAGAAGTGGGTATTATCATGAAATTTTTATTTCTAGCTACTGGACTAAAATGAGCCAAAGAATTCTAAAGGCTGAGTCAATGCCCCATGGGTTGGTCAAGGCCATTATTCCTAGACTGACCAGCAGGTGGCTGAGTAGGGTGGCTTTATGCTTGTGGCAACTGGACTATAATTTGTCCTTCTATTTAGAAAATGCTTGGGTGTCAAATGGAGAGGCACCACCTTGCCATTTGCACACACCAGGCAAGATGCCAAGGATAAGAAATAAACAAAAAACCCGATATCTTTTTACTCTTAGAAGGTGTCCATGGTGCAGAGTTTGTCTCTTTCTGCCTGGCACACAGACACTGGGGCTTTGTTATTTAGTTCTTGATTGCACTTACTAAAACCTGCTTTTGATGAGCTGAATGTAGGGGTGCGTACCTTTAGTCCCAGCACTTGGGAAGCAGAGACAGGCAGATCTCTGAGTTTGAGACCAGCCTAGTCTACAACAAAGCAAATTCTAGGACAGCTAAGGCTACACAGAGAGACTCTGTCTCAAAAAACCAACCAATCAACCACCCAAACAAACAAACCCTCCTTAAAAAAAAAAAAAGAATAATGGGCAAAACTGCCTGCTCTTGTCTGTGGTGGATCCACCCAGGGGAATACTAAACCTTTAGATTAGTACTGACACTGAGAGCATGTAGCTATGGTAGAGGTAGGCTGGTTCTTTTTCTTGTTTTCAAATCACACTTTTGATTGTAGGCTGGCATCACCCAAATACAGCAAAACACAAGTATCTAAATGCCATCCTTTTACATTTAAAAATGTAAATGTCTGTCAAACCTTTCTTTCAGACTGCAGCTGTATAAGCTAAGACTTTAGAAAACCAAAAACCAGTATTGGAAATATTACAATTCTTAACATTGTTCTCAGTTTTCAATGCAAAGCATGTTATATAGTTCTGAAAACACTTCTAATATTTTTGTTTCTGTGAGTTCTTTGTTCTGAGATAGGAGATAAAGTAACCATAGTACAAAACATGTCTTCATATTAGAGTGGGACCACAGGATGGATAAAATATCTGGAGCCATCAATTGGTTCATATTAAAATAGTCAATTTTCATCACCAGGGCTCTTCCGATTAAAACCATCAGGGCATGTAATTTAAAACAAAACAAAACAAAAACCTAGCACCTCATACTACACAGCCCTGGTCTGAGTGAAAACATGGGTTGCCAGTCATTCCTAACTGGAAATGTCTGCATGCAGAGGTCCGGGATATCGCCTCCTTGTCAGGGGCAATGATTTGTATTTGTAGTGAGTCTGGAAGTTCCTGCTGTGCATATCCTTTAGCTGCTGGCCCGCCCATCGTGGGGACACACTACTTCAAGATTAGTGCTTCTGAGTTCTAATTCTAGCGTCACTCTAAGGAGTTACCTCACAAGGGCAGGTTAGTCTGAGTCTCAGTGGAGTTTGTCACCCATGAAGCACTGCCCTGTCCAGTGTTTCCAGGAATACCATGAGCCTCCAAAATGCATTAAAAGGCACCATGCATCTGTGAAGATAATGATCTTATTCCTGACTGTTCTTACTAACAACCACAAGGAAACATGCAGACAAACAACCCTGGGAAGACTGGGCTGCCTAAGTGTGTTAACATGGTAGAAGTAACTCTTACTTTACAGTCGTGCTTAAAGTCCTTATGGTGACCCTGCCAGTTTCCTGGGAGAAAAGATAATGTCCTCTCCTAGGGAACTGAGGTGTCTGTGGGAGCCAGGGACATGTGGCAGTCGCTGTGTTTGCTGTCAGGACTTTGTCCTTTGTTCCTGCTGCTCAACGTTCCTCTTTTGGTTGGTTGTATATAAATGTACACCTGTGTTATTTTTGCTATGCTGCTTAAAATATTTCTCTGTTTAAGTCTGACTGTATACTTTGCCTAAGTCTTTCAAAAATAAAATTTATGTAAATGTCTATTTTATATAAAACATGGTAAAATAAGAATTCTGTCTGGCCTCGGTCTCTGAAGTTGTCTGATTAGAATCCACCAATAGCCATTTTGCTAGTGTGCCTGAGCTTCAAAAGCAAAGATGGTCTGTCCATCATCTTTCAGGCCACACAGTAACTGTCTACTTCTCACCCACACCAGACTTTACCTCCAGGCTAAACTGCTTGCTTGGTAGGTGCCCCCTGGGCCTTTATGGTACAAATGGAAGTTAGAAGGCAAGTTTTTCCCCAATACCCTGAACTCCATCCACTGCTGTACCTGGACCAAGTGTCTCTCTGGGCTCAAGACTTCGTCCTCTCCATTAACCTCCATTTGTTGGCTTTTACAGACTCTGTCTTAAAGCTCACCAATGGGTGGAGACACAAGCACTCAATCACTAGCACAAAAGGGGAGAAAACACCACAATCTCCATCAAAAAACAAGGAAAACCCCTTCCTTTAGTCCTCCAATTCATCAATAGCTGCTACATTTTTTTTTCTACCACACAATCACACTTTTTCTTTTGTGACCTGGCATGTTTACTCAGAGTTGTTGACGGGCAGGGAACCTCAACAGTAGTAGCTATACCACAGAAAAAGATTGTCTCTCCTGCCTCCCAGCAACCATTAACTGCCTTTATATCCTCGAAGAGGATGGGGCCTCACGACCCCCTCCTGCTCTGTGGGGGGTGCCATCACGACCCCCTCCTGCCCTGTGGTGGGGTGCCATCACGACCCCCTCCTGCCCTGTGGGGGGTGTCAGCAGCCCGACTTTGGTCTTGTGCTAATCATCAAACTTCGGAAAGCACAAGAGTGCAGCCACACTTTTTGAACAGCAAACTGCTGCTCTAGGGAACGTGTCAAAATCAAAGGCAGATATCCCATGTGCCACAAGTTCACCCCAGGGCAGGCCAGTCCCTCCCTGAGACTAATGTTCTTTCCTTCTTTTATTTATCTACATGTTCTGTTATTTTAAGTATCATTGGACTGTTTCTCCACTACCATAGACAATTCCTACTTGCCATGCATCTTCTTATTAGTAGATCTGAAGTTAACTAGCCACTTGCCACTCTGTATTATAATTCATTTTCCCATGAATGGAAATGCTTTGTTATGGTGAGCCTGCACTGGATGAATTCTCTACATTAGGATAAAATCTCCCATAAGACCAAGGGCTTTCAGTTCTGGTAACAAAGCAGGCTGTGCAGTGACGAGGAATGAGACTGTGTCCAGTTGTATGGGAGGAACCAAAGGACACAGACAAAGCTGTGTGGACCACATGTGGGAGAAGGAGGGGACAAGGTCTAGGAACCTCTTGGAGAGACTGCATGGCATGGGCAGACCTGGACCGTTGTGTCCCTGCAGTTACTGCACAGCACAGGCGCACCACTGCCAACATGGCTTTACCTCAGAGGCCTTTGGGTGGGTTTTATGTCATCCTTAACTGAAAAAGAGTGTTGAGTCTGTGTGGGACTTTGAGCTCCACTGGAAAACAGCGTGCACCTGAGGTGAGCATGAGGGCCCAGTGGGCAATCCTCACGACACTGGGGAAAGAAAGCAGAACTCTGGGAGGAAAGACCCAGTGGGCCACCAGCCAGCCAGTCCACACTGGGATGCCTCCAAGAGGGGATGCAAGCTGGGAAGTTGAATATTTTACCAGCTCTGCCCTGGCCCTCATTTCTATGGACTTGGATCATAAAAATCAAATAACACTCTTTTGTAGTCAGAAGTTTTCCTGTGTTCTTCCTGGTCCCACAGCCACTCGGTCCCAAGTAAACACACAGAGGCTCATTATTCATTACAAACTGTATGGCCTATGGCTTTAGCTTCCTGCAAGCTAGCTCTTTCATCTTAAATTAAGCCATTCCTATTCATCTATATGTTGCCACGTGGCCATGGTGTTACTGGTCTGCTGGCATCTTGTTGCTCCTTTGGCGGTGGCTGGTATCTCTCCTGACTCTGCCCTTCTCTCTGTATCTCTGCTTGGATTTCCCACCTACCTATAAGCTTTCCTGCCATAAATTATCCAGTGGGAGCCACACACATTCACAGCATACAGAAAGACCTCCCACAGCCGTCTTTGGTGCCTGCACCTGCACTTACCATTTTGAGTGTCTTTTGCTCCCCAGTATACATGCCTGCTTCCACTTGTCTGCCCTCCCAACTCCAAGAGACAGTGGAGCCCTGGGCAGAGGAGCCCAGAATTGTTAATGCATTCAGAGTGTCCTCTTAGGCTTGCCCTTAGAGTCTAATTAAACATAAGTTCACTAATAGTCTGGTCTTTGTTCCTTTCCCATCCTCAGGCTTATTGTCATACAATATTGATGGAGAAAATACTGACATGGTATCTTACTCATGCATTAATTGTACTTACCGTAAACAACAGATCACACAGCATTTGCTCCGGCTTTTGAAGCTGATTTTCTTGAGGGTCAAGAGCTTGGACAAGTTTCTTAGAAGCTCAACAGTAGTTAAGTGTTGAATCTCCTGTTTTGAGAAGTGCTTTCTTGCATCTAGCATGGAGTCCTGGGTTCAGTGCCACCATCTCTGCATCCTACTCTAGTCTGCAGATTTCATTAGGCTTTCCAAGGCAATAACCACCTTATTCCTCAGATCTGTTGCAGGGTCCTTGACATATAGAGGGACCTCCCACCATGGGGATACCTCTCCTAGGGCCAGATTGGAGCAGGAGGCACTAGGAAATCCAGAATGACCAGTGAAGCAGAATGATCATGAAGGACACCTGAACCCGGAATTGCAACAGATACAGTCCTATAGTGCCCTGAGAGGACTAAAACATCAGTTTCAGCTCACATTCCTCACTTGGTGTCAGCAGTCTATGGGCAAGGAGAATTCAGAGATCTCATGGAGACCATGGAGCTTCTGCCCGAGGATGGACTGCTACTGCTGACCCATAACTCCCAGAACCTAGGTGAGTGAAGGCCCCTAGATCTGCCACCAGATGAGGCTCATGTCTCCATGGCTTGCTCTGGATTTCCTATGGTTGTGGCCAGTATGGGCCCAGAAATTCCCAAAGGGAGGCCTGCCTTGGTGAAATGCTCTGAACTGGGAGATTGGGGCTTTCTGCTAAGGTGTCTCCTCCTTAGAGCCTAGTGGTCCTGGTATCTTCAGCGCAGACTCAGTTCTCTAACTAAATCTAGTGTCAGAGGTAGGGCTGGTTCTCTCCTGCCCTGCATCTTCCCTTGTTAGGGCAGCATGGGGCCTGAGCTGACTGTGGGGTGTTCTTGTAAGAATCCCAAGAAAGTTAATGGGGATTTTTTAAAGCTGAGCGACTTCAGAGCTTCTGTGCCAGGCCTGGGGAATCTGGTTGAAATCCTGACAAAGTGAAGCCTAAAACACAGGCTGTGTATGTGAGTATAGCCACCTGTGTGGGTCCCAGCAGCACTGAGGTGTGGAATCCAGGTACCTGATGTGAAAAGCAGGGAAACTGGCCTGGAATCTGCACTCCTCAGAATTAGTAGCTGTAAAGGCTCAATAGTTGGTGGATATTAGGTCAGAACAGTGACATCCATTGCTTTCTATTTTTTTTAAGTGCTCATTTAAAAAAAAAAAAAAGATTTAATGTATGTGTATGTGAGAGGCCAGAAGAGGGCATCAGTTCTCCTGGAACTGGAGTTAGGCAATTGTGAGTTGCTATGTGGGTGCTGGGAACTGAACCCTAATCCTCTAGAAGTACAGCCAATGCTCTTAACTCCTGAGCCATCTCTCCAGGCCCCTAAAAGTACTTAATGTATTTTCCAGGACTCTAGTAGGCACGGTGTGTTGACCTTGAGTAACAAATTTATCCTTTGCTTCCTTTCTAATTGTTCACCAAGTGAAGACTGCCAGGTCTCCCCCACAGCTGTCTCACATGTTAAAAAAGGCTGTTCACAATGTTCCTGCTTCTGTCTTTTTTGGGGGAAGGGGGTTTGTTGTTTTGAGTCAAGGTTTCTCTGTGTAGCCTCTGGTTGTCCTGGAACTCATTCTGTAGACCAGGCTGGCCCCAAACTCAGAGATCCACCTGCCTCTGCCCCCCACGTGCTGGGACTAAAGGTGTGCACCACCACACCCAGCCCCTGCTGCAGTCATTTTGTTTTGGTTTGTCAGACAAAGTAAAGACTGGCGATATTGCTACATAAAGGGTACGAGAGTAAGCAGAAAACTGAAACCTTTCCATCTTTAATACTGTAGTGCTTTATAAAGTTAAACCAAGAACCGGAAGGTAGAGGGTAAGTGCCAGGGCCTCACACAGTCATACAAGGCAAAAGTTCTGGGGACTGACACACAGCAGCTGAAGTAAACCCTAATGGATGGTGTGCTGAGGGAGCAGACCGTCACTCCATGGCACAGCCATATCTGATAGGAGCGGCAAAAGTCATAAGGCCAGCACAGTGCTTGACAAAGATCCAACAAAGCTGAGCCACATGATGGCTGCCATGCCACCTTTGGTTTTCATCTCCACCTGCTGCACATTAGGGGGACTTTTAATATTTTCACAATTTGGGGATATTGGATTGATGGAAATTTTTGTATGAATCATTTATGCCTTCTCCCAGAAATGCTGCTTCTAAGCTTCCCCAAGACAAAACATACTACCCCTCCCACTTTTAGGGAGATATCCTTATACCTTGTAGGTTGTGATGCACATAAAGAAGCCAGAGGTCTCTTTATGAGGCTATGAGACATTCTTGAAACATCTGTCCCTGCACTTACCCAGGAACAAGATAATCAAAACAAAGTAAACTTAAAAAGTCAACAAGATTCAGTGGGCTAGAGGAGTTGGCCACAGATCAGATTGCAAGCCTCTTCCCACTGTACACTCAGGCAATTATGTGGCATATACAGCAACAAAGTTAGATCAGCTGAAGTTACCTCTGCCCTACACAGAGACTTATACTGATGAGCAAAGAATGGAGTGGAAAGATGATAAAAGAATAAGATGTCGGGACCTCCCTTTCTTAGAAAAGTTAGTACATGCAGACTCACTGTGGTGTCATATAGCCATGGAACAACAGAAT